TTTTTTTTTTTTTTTTTTGGCGAGCGATGGAGACACGGAAATCGGCCGGACTGCTGACCTTGCCGTACCCCCTCCACCCGGGGTCCCTGAGCCTGCCCGAGACCCTGCCCCGCCTCCCTCTGAGGGACCCCTTCAGGGTCTCCTGGCCTCTGGACGCCGCGTGCTGCGCCCCGAGGCGGCCCTACCTGCCCCTGCCGCTGGACGGCGCCTTCGAGCCCGCCTTCCTCCGCAAGCGCAACGAGCGCGAGCGCCAGCGTGTGCGCTGCGTGAACGAGGGGTACGCGCGCCTCCGCGACCACCTGCCCCGGGAGCTGGCGGGCAAGCGGCTGAGCAAAGTGGAGACGCTCCGCGCCGCCATCGGCTACATCAAGCACCTCCAGGAGCTGCTGGAGCGCCACGCGCGGGGGCAGGACGGCCCGGCCGGTCCCCCGCGCAGGTCCGACTGCAACAGCGACGGCGAGTCCAAGGCCTCGTCCGCGCCTTCGCCCTGCCGCGAGCCCGAGGAAGGGGGCAGCTAGCGAGCCCGGGACCCCGGCCTGGACCCCGGCGCCCGCTGCACCGCGCGCCTTTGCCCTCTGGTCTAAGGTTCTCTCCGAAGGTGGTTGCGTTTTTAAACCGGTTTCTCCTCCAGGGGGAAAAAAAAAATCTTAGAAAAAAGAAATTAGTGTTTTAAAGGGAAAAAGATATTCTGACATTCTGGTTGGATTTCCTCCTCCCCCTTGTATTGGCTTTGTGCCTCCAACTTAATTAGGTGCCTGCTTAAGGGAACTTCTGGACTTCTCACATGCAAACGGTACCAGATTCGGAGCACCTCGTCCTGGAAAACCAAAGGGCAGTGATAGTGGGAATTTCCCTCCGTCGTCGGTGTCGGTAAATCATGTACATAAATATCGAAATAAATCCAACCTTAGCCAAAGAAGAACTTCACAAAAATAAATAAATAAAGGACAGCTCTTAAGGCGAGAGGCACGTTTTCCTGCGTCCCTCCCCTTAGGAATTACATTGGGCGGCGCCGCGCCTTGCTCGGTGAAGGTGACACGCGAGGACG